TTAAATGTTGTCCTTGTCAATATGACTGATGGCATGACAAATGGCAGAGATATTATTAGAATAAAATTAACTTAAACAACTCCATGGCTCAAATGAATTCTTCATTGGATGTTGGTGTCTTTGGGCATGGAGGGACATTCTTTGGGGCAAAGTCCATCTTCTCATTAACAGGGAATAATGTTGAATAGCTAGCTATCTTTTCATCTCTGTGCAATCCCATCTTTACTCCATGCAGCTCATCAAGGTACATTTCAGATCTCTCTCTCTCTCTCTCTCAAAATTGAGAAATGGTTCCATCATGGGAGCCATCTGCCATGAGACCATCACCAGAGCTGAGCTAAAGTCAGTCTTTTGCCCTAGAACTTCCAAAACAGTGAATTAAATAAATCTCCTTTGAGGTGGGGGAGATGGCTCATGGGATAAAAACACTGGCTGTGCAAGGCTGACAACCTGAGTTCCATTCCCAGAACCATCTGTAATGCCAGAACTGCTGTGCTGAGATGGACAGAGACAGGAGAACTGTCTGGAAGCTCAGAGGCCAGCTATCTGGGAGCAGCATGGCAGAAACAGCAGAAGATACCCCATCTCAAAAAAGTGTGAGGAACAGCTAGGCCCCTGGTGGAGCTCTGGGAGTCTAATTAGGGAGAAAGAGGAGGGTTATATGAGCGAAAATTGTTGAAACCAAGGTTGGATAATGCACAGGGACAAATAGCCAAACAAATGGAAACACATGAACTATGAAACAAAGGCTGAGGGGCCCCCAACTGGATCAGGCCCTCTGAATATGTGAGACAGTTGATTGGCTTGATCTGTTTGGGAGGCATCTAGGCAGTGGTACCAGGTCCTGTGCTCATTGCATGAGTTGGCTCTTTGAAACCTGAGGCTTATGCAAGGTCGCTTGGCTCAGTCTGGGAGGAGGGGACTGGACCTGCCTGGACTGAGTCTACCAGGTTGATCTCAGTCATCGGGGGAGGCTTTGCCCTGGAAGAGGTGGGAATGGGGGGTGGGTGGGGGTGAAGGGGAGGGGGGCAGGAGAGGGGAGAACAAGGGAATCCGTGGCTGATATGTAGAACTGAATGGTATTGTAAAATAAAATAAAAGGAAAAAAAAGTGTGAGGGAGAGATTCATCTACAACTGACTCCTGAAAGTTTTCTTCTGACCCCCACAGACCTATAGTAGCACCCAAATTTTTGTGTGCCTGTAAACACACACATAAATAATAATAATGATGATTATTATTAATAATTAATAATAATCATTATTATGTGCACCATTGAGTTTATTAGTGCTGCTGTGGTAATGATAGTTGTGATAGCCACCACTTTTGACTACCAGGAATGAAAGCCATGGTTTAGGCATTTGCTTTCTGGTTTTGAGTCCAATATCCAAATTATGCAGACAAGCTCCAGATTGCTGCCATACCCCATCTGTCTATCATTGTCTATACAGAAATTTCCAGGCACTGGACCAGTTCTCTTTCCCTCATAATTCTACTTCTCAAATGTTACTTCGTAACTGTCCTCTAGTGTAATTTCCAGAACACCCTCATTGTACTTCTTAGACTGGTGAAAACACCTATCTTTTTATTCCCAACAAAACCCCAACTAAATCTATAGACATTTTCCCTTTGAACACCTCCTTTAACATACACAATTCATCACACTGTGATGGATATTCCTTGTCATCTTATTAATGTGAAATTATTTTCCTTAAATGCTTCACTTTCACTTAATGAATCTTCCCTCCTCTCTCTCTGTCTCTCTTTCTCTTTGTGTGTGTGTGTGTGTGTGTGTGTGTGTGTGTGTGTGTGTGTGTGTGTGTGGGGTGTCTGTGGGTGGCAGTCTCCCTCTATAGTCCAGGTTGGCCTAGAACTCATACAATTATTCTCCTGCTTCTGCCTCATACATGTTGACATTGCATGGATGTACCACCGTGCCAGCTTCTATTTGCATATGTCTCTCTCCATTGATCCAAATGGGCAAAGGATCAGATTTACCTTATCTCTGCTTTCCCAAGGCTTAGCGTCAACTCACTAGTTCCCTAACTGCTTAATAAACTTCTACAGACCGAACTCACTGCACTGCAGAGAGCAGGGAGCAGAGGCCTTTCCAGTGGACCTACACAGTGAAGGGCAGACCCAGGGCCTCTCCCATGGTTGCCTGGCTCTGACCCCTAAGTACTCCTTTATCTCTGCATATAGACATGCTTCCAGGTATACCACCTTCAAAACTTTATGCTGAGGGATTGGAGAATACCAATTCAGTGAATCATGAATGGAAAGTTTCTACTGAGAGGAATCAAATGGAGGTGTTTCAGAGAAAATTAGATTTTGACAACATACTAAAAACTCTCTGACCTTACTCAAGTGGAATGAATGAGGGAACTGTACCAGAGATGCTCAATGAAGTGGGGCCCATCCCCCTGCAAACAAGCCCTCGGAGTCTTCTTTCATTTTCATTCAGAGATGTGTTTAAGGGGCTCAAATTACCAAAGGACAATTGTTTTTCTCTACACCTGTTTTGAATCCCTTGGGCTATTTTCCTTGATATAAAGTATTAGAAGATATAAAACTCACATGGCAGATATCACTTGGGGCTCACATATGCCAAAAAGTTATGTTATGCAAACATTTTCCCTTTGATATATAGTATTGTGACAGGAAAGATCACAATTTGTGTATTTATCCATCATTTAATTATCCAATGGAGCAACAAATATCTATTCATTTTTCAACATGTATGTTCAAAAAAACCTCCCATTGTGAATCTTTTGTAAAAAGCATTATCCATCTGGCAGGTCATAGAATAGTGCCTGAAAGAGATGAGGTATCTGTTTTCTTTGAGTGTCTGGCTTAGGCCTGGCATTAGAGCATTGTTGTTCCTGCTCTCAAAGACACTGTAAATCACTCTTATTATTCTTTCATTGATCCCACCATTTTGCACTGAGGATCCCCACACATTTTAGTTCGTGTTTGTGGCCAGGATTGTCTCCTTCAAAGAATCAAAGAGAAAAATCAGCTGGATTGACATCTCCCTGACATGTACACATCTTGCTAGCTACAGCAGTCTTCTTACGAGTGTAGAATTTACACAGAACTCAGGCGGATGTAATTGAGTGCCCTAGTGTGATGCAGCAGAGAAGAAAATGAATTAATCAGACTGCTCTGCTGTGTCTGCTCCTTTCCCCTGACATCACTCAAGATGGCACATAACAGTCTTCACCTCTTCACTGTGTAATTAATATGATGGTGATGGTCTCCATTTAACTTATTAAATGTCTATCAACTATGTAATATGCACTTGACACTTTGAGCTACATCAGGAAGAATACATGGTTCTTCTCCAGTTCTTTGTGTTTCTCAGGAATTTGCATTCTAACCTGGAAACTTCAAGCCCATTAGCAAATAGTACAGACGGAAGAGTGAACATTTATACTGATCCTGTTTTAACTTCATTCCAATTCCCCTGCAGACATGGCCTAGTCACATACTTTTTCCTTGTTTGAAACCTGTGTGTCTTGGTGCTAATTTGACCCATCTGGGTCTCCTAGACTGTGTAAGGATAACTACAGTATGACTCTCCTGTCTTTCTATGAGTATTTTCCATCTGGGATAAAATGAAGGTGGGCATGGCATAGTCAAGACAAACAAGCCATGTTTGAGACACAGTGAATATACTTTAATGGGGAGAACTGTGTCCAGGGTACAACTTAGATTCCTTCTTAGCGGAGATTTTTTAAGGACCAAATCTGGGAAGACAGCCTATGGTAAGTTTCTGGCAATATGACCTACTCATCCTCCATACAACACTTGTGGTGGTCATGTTTACAGTCATCCCACATTGTCTGTAGTGTCTTAATATAGTAGTCATGACTGTGACAATCATATATACTTTGCAGTACTGTTGCATCCAAGTGAAATATTTGATATGATCCTGCTCAGTGATCCCTACATATGCATATACCACACACTACCAGAGTGAGTATGCTTCTTGGATTATAGGACTAACATTGCTGAGTGAATTCTCAACACTGTCTTGCTTTTGAAGGCAAAATCTTCACTAAATGCTGTGGTATTAAACCCAAGATGCCCAAAGCATTCAGCAGCTTCAATTTTCTGGCACTTTTGGGTATCTATCTCCCTTTTAAGCCTCTGACATCACATGACAGAAAACGGGCCTCAGATGTTTAGAAGAATGCAAACTGAGACAACATGGAAACCCATGTTTTATAACTTAATGTACATCATGTTGGTTAACATTGTATATTGAATTGACTGGGTTAAAATTACCTGGATGATCAGTAAAACATTATTTGCTAGGAGCACTCACTGCTTATGGAATGCTGGAAACTTTGGGAAGTGGATTCAGATAAAGAAATGTAACTGGGAACCCATAGAACCATGGAGGCTATATATATATAGCATGGAGATCCCTAGGATGACTGTGGCTTATAATAAATTTCGGTTTTACTCAATTATTGAAAAAAATAGCCAAATGAATGGAAACACATGAACTATGAACCAAAGACTGAGGGGCCCCCAGCTGGATCAGGCCCTCTGAATAGGTGAGACATTTGATTGGCTTGATGAGTTTGGGAGGCAACTAGGCAGTGGGACCAAGTCCTGTGCTCATTGCATGAGTTGGCTGTTTGAAACCTGGAGCTTATGCAGGGACACTTGGCTCAGTCTGGGAGGAAGGGACTGGACCTGCCTGGACTGAGTCTACCAGGTTGATCTCAGTCCTGGGGGAGGATTTGCCCTGGAGGAAGTGGGAACGGGGGGTGAGCTGGGGGTAAGGGGAAGGGGTGGGAGGGGGGAGAATAGGGGAACCCGTGGCTGATATGTAAAACTGAATGGTATTGTTAAATAAAATAAAATTAAAATTAAAATTAAAATTAAAAAAAAGAAATGTAACTAGGGGTGTGTTTTAAAGACTACCCCTGGTTCCCTTTTCTTTGCTCTCTTTTCTGCTTCTTGCCCTTCAAGAGATGAACAACTTACTCTTCCATGTGTTCCCACCATCACGAATTTCTTTCTGGAGCAAATGGGATGAAGTAGCAGACTTGTGAGCCAAATGACATCTTTCCTCATTTAAGTCGTTTCTCTCGGGCATCAAGTCACAGCAGCTATAAACTACACCTGGCAGAGAAAATTGGAACCACAAAGGTGGGATCATCACAGTGAATAAGCCTCACCACATGGTTCTAAAGATGCTGAAACTGGTTAGTGCGAGGAATCTGAGCACTTTGGTCAGATAGGTTAGAGAAACCTTACACTGGTATAAGCAGAGTTAATAGGTGATTCCAGGGGATGCCCACAAGGCCACAGCACCATTAAAAATGAAGATAGAGCTTCACAAATTTCAGGTGTAAGTGTGGCCTTGGTGAATATCAACCAAGATAAGATGCCTTGAACTTATCTTGGGAGTCTTCCAGGTCCTATCCACCATAGGTTCAAGGGTATACAAAAGTTGATTCATTTAAAAGGCTTTCCCACATGAAGAGCATCATTGGGGTGCTCTAATCCTACAAGCCACCTATGGTAAGTTTTTTTTTCTCCCGACTTTTTGCCATGCCCAGCTTCTGACATATGCAGCATCTAATACAGACATGGTCTAGGAGGACCCAGCTACAGAATAAGCAGGCAGCCAGTTTTGGCACAATCCACTCTGTGGATCCAATTTTTCAAACACATGAAATACAATTATAGGACCACTGGTATTTCCACCCACATTTCAGAAGGAAACCTTGGGGGCTGTGTAATATGCGGTAGAGTCAGAATCCCTGTAGTCATACCCCAAGAAGGCAATTTGTGAAATTTTGAAGATGGTGTGATCTAAGCTGTGAGGGAGACATTGGGATTTTGCAGATGCGAAACATCTGCTGAGGAAAGCCAGAGACAATCAGATGAACCCGACCAAGAGAGAGGCTATGTGGGTTTGGAAAGGCAGGGCTATAATACTGGGGTTTCTTTAGCCCTTTGGGACCATATGTCCCAGGTGCCACACATGAAGCTAAGTATTTAGTGTTTGCTCTGCTGAGTTTTGATGTTGCTTTGATCCCATCTTTTCTTTCTAAACTTCCATTCTTCTATTTTAAAATGGAAATGTTCTATGCCCTCACTTCTTGGAAATGCATAACTTCCTGTTTGACTTTTTCAGAGGCTTACAGTTAAAGGTTTTCCTTGAATGTCAGTAAAGACCCTAGACTTGGATGAGTGAATGATGATACAAATATTTAGGTAACTTTTGGAGGGAGAGTCAATTTTGTATTATGAAGTATTCATATGCTTCTGGGGGTAGGACATACCTTGATATATGAAGTGTAGTCTACAGCATCCTGTGTCCTTGCTGGTGACACTATTTTGTAAGGCAGTAGCAACTTTGGGAGGTGAGATCTAGCTGGATCCTTATGTGGATCACTTAAAGCTGTATCTCCTCATGGCTCCTTTCTCACTCTGCTTCCTGGTTATCATGAGGTAAAGTGCTTTCTCCTCCATGTGCTTTTTACCACTGTGATGCTCACTCAAATCAAGAGAGGATAAAAGTCTCTGAGCTAAAATAGGTCTTTTCTAAGTTATTTCCATTAGGCATTTGGGGCTACAAATGTTAAAGTATCTGTATCTTGCTGGTTCTCTTTGTCTGAAGAAACTTGACTAATACAACATGTGATCTGTCAAAAAGTAAGGAAACAATAAAGTATCCGTATTTCAAGACACAGGGGAAACACACCTTTATAATGCTGAGCAAATATCCTGATGTGAGGCTGCCCCAGGAGGGCATCTGTTGATTCTTGGTGGCCCAAATACTTATTTTACACATATGCACAGGGAAAAGATCGTGTGTTTAGGTCAGTTGAGTGGAATACATGGATTTGAGAGCTCCATTCTCTCTACACACAAAAGCCTAATGACAATAATAAACATTAATAACTGACAAAAATCTACCTAGATAACTTAAAGATAGAGACTACTTAGGCTGTTTCACTTTGACACTTTTGGGGTATTGAAGAAGGCCAATTAGCTAACCTAATTTGGTGATTTACAATGACACTTTGCTGAATGTGAGTGAGGTTAAGATAGATATCTTCACAATTCCTCAAATATGAAATCTAATGTGAAGAAATCCAGATTAGCAGAACCAGCTTTTGCATCAGTTTTGGGTAATCCCTAAAATCTGTTTTTCTTTTATACTTCCACTCTGCACAGCGAGTCTTCCAACATCTTTCTGGTGGTCTTAAACTCCACACACCCTTCACATTTTGAAAGCCATGTTATTAAATTGGGGTATGAGTGTTAAAACCAGGAAGACTTTCAAAGTATGATTGAAATTGGAAATCTGTTAGAATGGAACACTCTACAGACTATTGTGTTTGCTCCTGAATGATTCTTCTGATGACTTATGGTGATCTGATTATGACAGTGCAAGGCTCCATGGGCTGAGAAAACATATTGAATAAATAAAAAGCAATATACTTGAAATTACTGTAGGAGTAAGTTCTTACTAGCCCCAAATATAATCTACATTGATTTTCTTTTACAGCCAGTGGCTCAGAAAGGAAGGTAATTACCATCTCATTTCAAGTAGAGATTGAAATATGTTAGCCTGGAGTTCTTTGTAAATATTTTCACAAATAGAGCATTTCCTTTGGCAGGGATAGGCAGTGAGGTAGAGACTTATCAGTTTTCATTGAATTGGTGAGTTAACCAAAGTTTTTTTGTTTAATTTTATTTTACAATACTATTCAGTTCTACGTAACAGCCATAGATTCCCTTGTTCTCCCCCTTCCTGCCCTCCTCGCTCCCCCCCCAGCCCACCCCCCATTCCCACCACCTCCAGATCAAGGCCACCCCCAAGGACTGAGATCGACCTGATAGACTCAGTCCAGGTAGGGCCAGTCCCCTCCTCCCAGATTGAGCCAAGCGTCCCTGTATAAGTCCCAGGTTTCAAACAGCTATCTCATGCTGCAAGCCCAGGACCTGGTACCACTGCCTAGATGCCTCCCAAACAGATCAAGCCAATCAACTGTCTCACCTATTCAGAGGGCCTGATCCAGTTGGGGGCCTCTCAGCCTTTGGTTCATAGTTCATGTGTTTCCATTCGTTTGGCTATTTGTCCCTGTGCTTTATCCAACCTTGGTTTCAATAATTCTCGCTCATATAAACCCTCCTCTTTCTCGCTAATTAGACTCCCGGTGCTCCACCCGGGGCCTAGCCATGGATCTCTGCATCCAGATTCCTCAGTACTTGGATGTGGTTTCTGGCACAACTATTAGGGTGTTTGGCCATCCCATCACCAGAGTAGGTCAGTTCCGGCTGTCTCTCGGCCATTGCCAGCAGTCTTTTGTGGGGGTATCTTTGTGGATTTCTGTGGGCCTCTTTAGCACTTTGTTTCTTCCTTTTCTCATGTGGTCTTCATTTACCATGGTCTCCTATTCCTTGTTCTCCCTCTCTGTTCTTGATCCAGGTGGGATCTCCCGCTCTCTTTCCCTCGACCCTCGCCGTTCATTGCTCCCACTCATGTCCAGGCTGTTCATGTAGATCTCATCCATTTCTCCGTCATTGGGTGATAGGCTCACAACCAAAAATATGAGTTAACCAAAGTTTTAAGAAAAGTATGGAAAAACAGTTCAGTTGTATAGCAGAGAATGGAATTCTCCCCTAGATTTTTTTATTTCACACTGATGAATCTGTTTCCAAAGTTGCACATTAACCGGTGTTTAAGAAACCTGCTGGGTAATAGTAATGTATGCCTTCTACAAAGGGCATCTGAGCACTTAGAGGGATGAGAAAATATTATTTTTTTTATTCTTCATTTAACATTCTAATGTTCCACCTGGATAATTCTAATTTTCACTCTGGATCACATCATCACATCCCCTTCTGGAAAACATGTTATTATCCTTTAAGATTGAGTGACATTTGAGAACCCACTGTACACCCAGATGCTGCCTCACAGTTTAACGTAAGCTAATGGATTTAAAAAAAAATAGTACCAACTGCCTGTCACTCACACAGATTTGTTTTATGATCTAATATCTGCCCCTTTAGAATGACTGTCTCCTTTGTGCTTGACAGTACCATATATTGTCTAATTATAGGATATGGAGTTCTTTATTTTAAGTAATTATTAGCTTGAGTTTGATATTGTGTGATTCGAATAATATGTGAGTTCATTACTTTTGTATTCATTCCTCTGGATCACTGAGACGAGAGCATACACACTCAATGTACTAATGTCTTTATAAGTTTTAACTTTCAATTCTATTGGTTTTAATAATTATCATTTCTCTTTAGTGAATTTAGTATAGTGTCATTATAGTGAAGATTTTGCTCCTAATAAGACTTTCCCTTAAAATTCCTAATAATGACTGTCAACTTGACACTTAGGAGGCAGACACCCAGGCACACCTGTAAGGAATTATCTAGATTAAAGTTAGCCTCTAAGGATGTCTATGAAGAATAGTAGTGATTATGTTGGTTGACATGGAAGACATCTCTCACTCGTGGATGAGGCCATTTCCTGGCCAGACGATCCTGGGCTATATGAAATTGAGAAGGCATGCTGAGGACTATCACACATGCATTTTTTGCACTCTGCTTTTGACAGTGGACATAATTTGAGCAGCTCCCTAAATTTCTTAGTACTGTGGCCTCTCTGCCATAATAGACTATGACCTAGAACTGTGATGTAGAAAAATCCTTTCTCCCTTAAACTGTTTTCCTCAGAATATGTTATCATAGCAAGAAGAGAAGAAACTAAGGCAATGACTTTTTCATCTGAGTTTGCTGTATTAATTCTTTTGTTGCATACAATTTGACTATCTGTTTTACCTTAGCTTTTCCGAACACTCATATTCATGCAGATCACAGACAAATAATACAAATTTTTATTATATATCCATCATTACAATATACATTGCAATTTGTATATACATTATTTTTAATTTTCTGAACCATCTTGTTCAATTCCTTCACTGTTTTCTAAACCTTTCATTCTTTTCCATCTTTTGAATGGCCAGATATTTTCCCACTCTTTATCCATGTATTTCTTCTAGAATTTTCCAGTATTTCTCCTGCCTTTTTTCTTTTATTATTGTGGTTGTAATATAATTACAATAATTCTTACTTCCTTTTTCTCCCTCCAAGCCCTCCTATATATAACTTCTTGTTCTCTTTTAAATTTATGGCTTCCTTTAAATTAATTGTTACTACATATTATATATATATATATATATATATATATATATATATATATTCCAGATTTTAAAGTTTACTTGTTCCTTTAGATTATGCTTTAATAGTAACATCCACATGAAAGATATGGATTCCAATAAAAATATGTCTACTTGTCTTGAGTCTTATAAGGATCAAAATCACATAAACTCTTAGTATAACTCGCCTTTCTTGAATGTTATACTATTTGTGTTTTAATTTCTCCCATTTTCTGCCACAAAAATCATTCAGATTTTGTGATAGTACTATTTTATATAGATGTGAGACTTGAACTGACTTTTTGCTTACTTATTCATTACTTGGTGTTAAACCTTGTCTTCCTACATTAATTCCTTCCTGTGTCAAATTCAAGTTCCAAGAAAGTTCATTAAATGAGGATACAAACAAGATAACTGGTGGTCAGTGTGCAACACAGCCTACTGGTTAAGACTGCAGGTGTGAGAGGAAACCTAGATTGAGAACTCCAGCATTTACAGTTAGTAAATTTGTGATGAACTCCCACATGCCTCAGTTCCCTCATTTGTAAATCAAGGGCGTAGTATTCATCTCATTGCTGGGAAAAATTAAATAATGTATACCACCAAAAACTTAAAACAGTGTAGGGTACAAATCAAATATCTGAATCATTTTAAAGGACATAGGGAGAATGATTGGTTGGTGGTCACTATTTGTTACTGTAAGGCAAACACCAGGATTTAAAATAAAAGAAAATGAGACTACAGATCATAGGCAAGCAATTCACCTCCTTTGTACCTCCATTTCTGATCTTTCACAATGGATTCAGGAATCCTGTAGTGTGCATAGTAGGTCCCAACACCACACTTTTAAAACTTCTTTCCACTGCGTTAGTTTTATTGACCTATCCAGACTTTTTATTTGCCTGTAACAGGGCCCCAGACCTTAGGACAACTGACTCCATAAGAGAAACACCATTTAGGCCTTGAAACCCAGCATGTAGGCAGCAACATCTGCCCAAACAGGAGCAAAGACCTGTCCTACCTGCCAAAATAGGAACAAAAGCTATGTCACCAGTTCCAGGGTGCTGCTGGGAAAATCCCAAAGTGAAAAGTCCCTAATTGCACTAACCCTTCTTTTTTGCTTCTGTAGTTACACATCTTTCTAACTAAAATGTGCCAGCCCGGATAGGTTTTTTTGTGCATAAAAGGCTATGAACTGTAAGACACAGGGCTGCATAATTTGGGCAAATTCCTTGTGCAGCTGCTGGTTGGCAATAAAGACTTTGTATTCAGGATTAAGAGTGTCCATGTGGCAGTTTCTGGTGGGCTTACCTTGCAATAGCCTCCTCTGGACTCCTCTTCAGCCCTCTCACACCTCACAGTAGCAATGTTTGTTATTTGGTTTTGAAGATATCACCTTTCTTATATGACTGTTCCATCAATTATATAGAGACTACATAAGGCAGAGATGGGATACTCTTGTTTCAGCTCACTAGGTGTCTTAGTACATTTTCTGTTAAAAAATAATGCAATAACATAGACTGGGTGAGTTATGAAAAACTTTTTTTTTTTTTTTTTTTTTTTTACTTTGACTCACAATTATGTAGGTTCTGGGTCAGATAGCTGTTTTTAATGGATTCTTGTCACGTTGGGCGCCAGATGTAGATGTAACCAACCGTCTTATTAAATAAGAAACACAAAACCAATGTAAAAGAGGAAGCCGAGAGGTCAGAGCTCAGAGCTAAAATCTCACCCTTCCTCTTGCGGTGGTCCTAGCTTCCCGAAAAGAGAGCTACTTCCTGTGTGTCCGTCTCTTCATAGTCTTTTTGTTCTACCTTCTCATTGGTTGTAAACCCAAACACGTGACTGCCTCGTCACTGTCTATATGTACAGCCTTCTAGATCTTAAAGGCGTATGTCTTCAATGCTGGTTGTATCCCTGAACACACAGAGATCTATGGGATTAAAGGCATGTACCACCACCTCCATGCTCTTTCTATGGCTCTAATAGCTCTGACCCCCGGGCAACTTTATTTATTAACATATAATCAAAATCACATTTCAGTGCAATTAGAATACCACCACACTTTGACTCACAATTATGTAGGTTCTGGGTCAGATAGATGTATCTTGCAATGGCGACTGTGGTGGTTTAGAAGAAAATGACCCCCATAGGCCCATAAAGAATGACACTATTAGGACGTGTGACCTGTTGGAGGACGTGTGTCACTGTGGGCATGGGCTTTGAGGTTTCCTATGCTCAAGCTACACCCAGTGACACAGTGCACTTCCTGTTGACCGTGGATCAAGATGTAGAACTCTCAGCTCCTTCTCCAGCACCATGTCTGCTTGCATGCCACCATGTCCCGACATGACTATTTGGCTAAACCCCTGAAATTGTAAGCTACCCTAATTAAATCTTTTCCTTTATAACAGTTGTCATGGTCATGATATCACTTCACAGCAATAGAGATCTTAACTAAGATAGCCACATTGCCAACCAGATGCGCAGGTGTACAGGATGTCACATGGCAAAAGTCAAGAAATACTTGTGTGTCTCTTCTAGTTTTGTTCCTTTTTACTCTAAAGGGATCAAGCCACTAGAAATTGATTATGGGGACTCAACCCTAGTGACTGCATGTACTCTTAATCACTTCCTAAAGTTCCCATTATAATTAGGTTAAGTTTTCACCCCTTAATATCTGATTATAGATTAAATTTCCATATATGGCAGATACACTGAAACCATATGCAAAACATAGTCCAGGGAATGTTCACTTCCTAACCTCCTGTCATCAGCATCTACCCTCAGTAACCAATTTTCAAAAGAGGTAGACTTTCCAATAAGAGAACAGGAAGGACTTTTATTGGGAAATTTCATGCAAGGGTGGTAGGTTATTATCTCTTAAGTAACAGGACTCTTGTGAGTCACAATTTCTTTCCCTCAACTCTAGTCGCTATTTGATAAAACTTATTTGTTGGCTAAATACATGAAGGATATGTGAAAGATGCTTTGTTGACTTTGAAGAGTTGAGCAAACACTAGCTACTCATAAAAACATAAAGTGTTAGGCATATGGTATTATGAAATTCAGAGCTCTTCTCAGGATTTCATCTGTTGTTGTATTCTTTTAATCAATTAAACCTGCTTTGGTGTTCTTTATTATAAGGAATATCTATCCTCTAACATCTTTATAATAAAGAATATCTATCCTCTAGCATATTGCCTTCAGTCATTATCAATGTTGTCATCGTGTCTAACCACAATCAGATATGTTTATGTCTGCACAAACAGAAGTCTCTTACGGTGGCTGAGCATACAACTGCAGGTGGCATCTTTTTGTTGTTATCTTTCAGCAGACAAATGGACTTTTCACAGGGGAAAACCCTCTGAAATTATCTTGCCCTGCTGCTTAGATCATGTAATGCACAGTCAGAAACTTGTACACATAAGTAGAAAATATCTGTGGCCAAAGCCTGATGCAGTTATTCATATCCACAGTATTTTTGATATAACAATATTTGACATTATCTATCTATATCTATCTCTCTATATAAAACCATCTGATTTAATAGCTATATATTTAAATGTGTATATAAGGAGACTAAAAGAGAAAGAAGGAATAACAGGGAGTGAATGAATCATTTCTTGCTAAATAATAAAGACATATCAGTCTTAGCTGACATAACTTGTATATAATTTAAGTCTTTGAAAAGTAATAACTTAGACTGCAGTCAATGTGGTCTGGAGTCAGTTCACATTCAGTTTCTGAATTCATCATTCAGCAGATAATTGTTAGTTCCTATTATAGGTAGGGCTTATGATAGATAATAATAACAAGGTAAGGAGATACTGGCTTGCCCTTAAAGCATTCATAATTTTTTAGCATGGAAGAGAAAATGGAAAAGAAACAAAGTTGATACGTAAAAGTAGACTCCCTGGAGCCTGGATTTGGAGATGTGTCTGTCAACAGTCACACCCATGTCCCCATCTTGCTGCAACTCTACAAGCTGTGCTTGGCTTTCTGCTCTGTTTTGAGAAACAACCTATATGAATCCAGCTCAACTGTAAAGTGGTCTCTCTGTCTTCCTGTTTCTTTGTCTGTCGATCTCTGGTCCTCATATGGGTTGCTCTTCCTCTCACTCACTTCCACTTATGGGTAATGTGGTTCCTGAGCATTATGATCTGAAGCCTCTTCACTCTGATTACTTCTTTCCAGCCTCCTGCCTCAGCATGTATCCTCACCTCTGACCACTGGCACTCCTTCTCATTGTCTGCTTTCTGGCTCTTTTGTCTCCATTCCTCTCCATCCTGCAAAGGGCACATGCCTTAAGTCAGATGGTCCATTCTTTTTTTTTTTTTTT